AAAGGAGCTAAAGGTGTAGGGAAGGTGGGATGGGTAGGGGAAGAGTAAAAAGGGAAAAGAAAAAAATGTGAGAGAATGAAAAGATGAAAATAAAGTGTTTGTAGATGCGGAGGGGAGGAGGGGGTGAAGGGAGGGCAGAGGTAAGGAGAAAAAATGAGAATCAAGACTTGTCATGTAGAGGTACATGATCCCAACAATGAATGCAACTGTACTGTATCCCTAAAATGTACCAATAAACTCAATTAAGCTGAAAAAATAAAAATAAAAAAAATAAAATAAGAATTCCCTTCAGTCACTCACAAATTAACATGAAGAATCAACAACTGAAACCTCATCTTATTCAAAAGCTTCTGCATTACAAGAAAAACTACTGACCAAGTGAAAAGACAACTCACAATGTGGGAAAAAATTTTTACAAGCTGTTCCTCAGACAAAGGTCTACTAACCAGAATATCAGAATATATAAAGAACTTAAAAAAAAAATCAAATCTCTCAAATTTAAAGACACAATCCAAACATGGGCATCTGAAATCAACAGATATTTCTCAACGGAGTAGAAACAGTAAATAAACATATGAAAAAATGTTCAACATCACTGTTCATTCAATAGATGGAAATGAAAACAATGCCAAAATTCCACCTCGCTCCAGAAAGAATGGCTGATACCAAGAAATCACACAATAACAAATGTTGGCGGGGTTGTGGGGAGAAAGGAACCCTTCTCCAATGATGATGGGACTGCAGACTGGTGCAACCACTGTGGAAATCAGTGTGGAGAGTCCTCACAAAACTAGGATTAGAGGTCCCATTTGACCCAGCTATTCCTCTGCCTGGTATCTTCCCAAAAGAATTAAAAGCACCATACCACAGCTATATATGCTCACCCATATTTAAAGAAGCACAGTTTGTAATAGCTAAATCGTGGAAACAGTCCAAATGCCCATCAACGGATGAATGGGTAAAGAAGACGTGGCTTTTTTAATGGAGTACTACTCAGCCATAAAGAATGACACACCAGAGCCAGTTAGAGCTAAACGGATGCACATTGAGGCCGTATGCTTAAGTGAAATAAATAGGACACACATGCTAATACTGAACAGTTTCTCTGGTGTGTGAAACTGAAAGTGTAAATGAGCACCAAAATGTATAATAGATAATGTAAAATACACAGAAAAGGCCCAAAGGTAGGTGAACTAGGGAATGGAGGTGGGGGAAAGGAAAGAAGGGAAAGAAAAAAATATGAGAAAAGAAAGAAAAATGGAAACAAAGTTTTTTATAAAAAGGGAGGGATGGAGGGATGGAAGGGTGGAAGGGAGAGAATAGGAGTGGGAAAAAAACAAGAAGCAAACTATATCATGTACAGATACAAATTCCCAGCGATGAATGTGATCATAATCTATACCTAAAAACGTACCAATAAACTTAATAAATAAGATAAAATAAGGATTCCTTAAAAAAGAAAAAAGGATTTCAACTATCTGAGGTCATTATAACTCTACACATTTCAAAGCATTTTCAAGTTCAATTTCCAATCTTTTTAAAGTGTTTTTTTGGGGGGGGCAATGGACAAAATGCTTTAAATACTTTTTGTTTTGATTTCAGTAGCAGATAAGTGTCACTTGCCTTCAAATTTTCTCATTTCTCTTGGCTTCAAATACACTTATCAAGGAAAAAAAGTAATTCTGAGAGATTAGAGAGCACAAGGCTAGGTTATAATTCTGGGTTTGTGGCTTTATGAAGCTATATGACTGTGGGCACAGCAAGGCTGATATCTATGATGACAGAGGAAAGGAAGGCATGGTTCTGGTGGCCTGGAGCAAAACGTCCAAGCAACAACAGAAAAATGTAGTACGGTACCTACAGAAATGAGCCTCGCAGGTGGGGGAGTAACGATGCAAGCAGGATGAGAAGTGCACTGTACAAGGGCAAGTGGCCCGAGGAAACAGAACCCGATAAAGGTAGGTGGAGACTCACACTCAGGTGGGCCAGTGAAGGCCTAAAAACCCAGGGGGTACATAGTGCTTCCCCTCCCAACAGGAGAGGAGGGGAGCTATGCGACCTTGGTTACATACCAGGGTGGCCATTAAATCTGTAGACAAGCGAAGGACAATGGGAGCCTATCCCTCAGCCCCAAGGAGAACTATAAATAGGAAGACATCTAGAATAAAGCCTTCTAATAATTGAACTAAACTTGGACTCAATGGTATGAACTCATTTTCCAAAATATGCAACCAGCCCTCTGTGTGCCTGGGTTTTGTATCTTTCAATGTAACCAGTTACAGATAAAAAAAAATGTAAAATATAAAAATCATGTGAATGTATACAACTATAAGGATAGAGAGCAAGTGTTAAAGTATGAGGATTTTTAAATTTTTTCTTTTCTTTCTATAATTTCTTTTCTAAACTGTTTAATTTACCAAAATGCCCATATTAAAGATCCACAATTTTATAATCAGCAAAAAACTGCATTTATAGTGTCTACAGATAAATGTATTCTACTTCTATGAATTTGGAACTACATAACTGCCCAAACATTTATGAATAGCAATGTTCATCTCAGCAATATAAAAAATAGAAAGTGATTAGAAACAATTTAAATGTAGGAAAAAGAAAGATTTGGATATAGACAAGAGTGTCTCCACAGGGTGTCCATTAACAATTACAGAGGCCTATTTAATGACCAGAAAAAATACTGAGATATAATGTGCAATTAAAATATAGAATATGAAATGGCAAGGTTATCAGCTTTATTTTATAACTGTGTATGTATGAACCACATAAAAAATTATAAAAAAGGATGGTATGAAACAAAAAATGTTAAATTCATTATCTCTGGGCGGTACTTTTTTCAATGATTTAATTTTCTTAACACTGTTCTGTTTTCAAAATTCTCTTCAAAGCAAGTTTGAGAAGTGTGGCATACATACAAAAATATCCAAAGGAGAAAAGGAAAGAAGAGGAAATTTAAAAATACAGCAGCCATCTGTCCTAATGCTTCAAGTTCATTTCAGTAACAAAATCTTACTCATTTTTAAATTTCAAATGGCACCAAAGGAAGAAGTTATTTTATCTACCACATGGAAGTGTGGAGTTTTTTTTAATAAAGAAATATGGCTTCAAATGCATACTTTTAATTTAAAATTTTTAAATTTTCAATAAGTTTTAAATGTATGAGTACTATTTTTAAAGTGCATAAATATACTTTGTAAATTGCATCTATTTACAGCACTATTTTGATTATTATACTGGAATAAATGCCTTAATATTTTTCTCTTAAGAAGCACCCAAAATACAATATTACATTTACTTCATTGTTCTTTTTTTCTCTGATAGAAATACTATCTTAGCATATATTTATGTGCTAAATAAGGAAAACGCAAGGTATTCTTACTTATTTTGATAATATTCTGAGTTAATTTCAATTAAGGCAATTTTTGAAGTTACGGAGCTGTTTAAGTTCAACAAACAAATGTTTCTAAGAAATACCACATTCAACCATTCGTACACACTAAAATCACAAAAAAGTGTGAAGCATTATCAATTATATTCCTATCACTCCACATAAGTAATTACTAAAGTTTTATACTATACACATTTAAAAGAATAAGTCATTTAAAAATTAAATTCAGGGGGTCAGGGATTTAGCTCAGTGGTTCCACCTTCTGCTTCACAAGTACAAGGACCTGAGTTTGATCCCTGGTACCACAAAAAAAAAGAATAGTTATTTAGGGGTGGGGATTTAGCTCAGTGGTTCTGGCACCTACCTCGCAAGCACAAGGGCCTGAGTTTGATTCCTGATACCAAAAAATAAATAAATGAAAATCAAAATTAACTTCAAACATTTTTAAATCTTTCAAAACTGTTTATAACCTAAACCAAATGCTCTTCTACCTCATCTTCCCTAAAATTACTGCATCAAATAAATGACTCGACATACATGTGAAGTGATTCTAGAGTACACTATTTCCTATTTTCCATGTAAATAATGACAACTGCAAACAACCTCTTCAGCTCTTAAAAGCTTTAATTTTCAGAAATAGCCCCTTAACAAGCATCATCATACTATTAACATCATATTAACAACTTAGAGAATTTACTTGAAGCAGATGATACAGTATTTCATGCTTCCATTGTTAAATGCTTTTCAATCTTTACAATAAATGATTAAGACTTCTAAGATTCTGTAACTTGTTATACATTTTCTCCTCAACCTCCAATGTTAAGTTTTTTTCTTTATATGCCAGAAGAACTAACGCAACAATTTGCTGTTACTGGAGTACTTGAGTTGTGATAAATGCAGATATTAAGTATACACAGTTATATTATCTTCCATAAATATGTCTGACTATAAAGACCAGATGCCAAATAGGTGTACTGAACACAAAAGCTTTATATGAAGCTACATATTTAAGGTTTTTCCTGGCACAATTCTGGTGTTTTTCAAAAATAGTCTTCTGAGAAAAGCAGTACAGAAAACCAGTGGGGAAAAAAATCTGGTTGGTGAAGCTCTATAGACTAACAAAGAACGAGAGATGACACAAATATCAATAGTTTGGCTGAAACAGGGAATGTGTACACACACTGTAGACATCAAAACAGCTATAAATACCAAGATATTAGCAATCGTGTATGACAACCCTGGGGTTTATTCCACAGATTCAATATTCTAAAATCAATCAGTATAACATGTGATGTAAATAAGGTAATGAAGAAAAATCATACACTCTGAGAGACACTGGAGCACACGTAATCTGTAATTGTACTCACTGTGGATAAAATTAACCAGTAAATTTTAAAGAGTTTACCCTATACAAAAGTAACTCTTTGCCAACAAATTCAAACTTAACCTATTTCAAATTTTGCATAAGTATTTGAATTCTGAAAACTAAAAAAAAAAAAGAAATTGAAACTTTAAATTGGAAGAGTTTTTTGGGAAAAATTTTTGTCCTATAATTAAGATGCTCATGTGCACTCTGAATTAGGAAAGAAAACCGTCTTACCATAATTAAACTGACTGTTGGACTTTTCGCAGTTAATGATGTTAAACCTGTAAGCCACACCCAGCCGCATTCCACTGACCTCAAAGTAAAACCACTGATGATAATGATTGGTGTTTATATCAGAGTTAAGAATAAGATCATATTCATTTCTGAAAATGGAAGATAAAGATATCTGATGAAAATGAAGAAAACACTTATACATAGATAAAATGAGAACATTTTAAGGGACTTACTTTCTAATCTGAATTACTTTGCGCAGATTCCCAGACTCAAATTTGGAGTTAAACTTCAAAATATCTCCTTCTTCTGGAATGGTGTAACTAAGTAAGTATTTTAAATTAAGTATATTAAAATACACTGTACTTAAACAAATGAGTGGAAAAATTACAGATAAAAATATATCATCGTCACATCAATTCCTCATTATTTTTGAAACAAAGAAAAAGCAAGTAGAAATTTTGTCCAACATTTACAAACCAAAACATTATAATTAAATACTTGCTCCCACATTTATAATAAGAACTTTTGCCTCTGTGAACAGATGTCATTTATAAAATACTGATTGTCATGTAGAAAATTACTGCTACTTAATAGCAGTAATTCTAATAAATCATAGTCTGTAGGTAAATTAAGAGAGCTATACTGTTTTTATTTATTTACACCAAAAAGTTAAACATTGTATTCATTTTACATATTATTTAATAAATATTTTCTGAGCATCTACTAGGTGCAGGGTTGTGTCTGGTGCTTCTACTATAACAGAAGTTATTACTGTCCTGGAGATTGCATTCTAATAGGAGAAAATTAAAGAGTCCAAGAAGCTCAACGATTTTCTTTAGAGTCATTTCAGTTAGAGTATGGGTAGGCCATATCCAGAGTTCTCAACTTCCAACTTTTTAACAAATTTGCTGTTTGACTGATACAGAATTAAAAACATTAAAACAACTGCGAGACTTTTAAATAATAAAGTAGATTTTTTTCCCCTAAACTTTTTTTTTTTTTTTTTTTTGCAATGCTGGGGTTTGAACCCAGGGCTTTGTGAAGGCTAGATAAGTGCTCTCCTACTGAGCCATACCCTTAGCCTAGAATATTATTTTATTTATTTATTTATTTTTTAAATATTTTTGGTACTGGGGATCGAACTCAGGTCCTTGTGCTTGCAAGGCAGGCACCGGAATCACTGAGCTAAATTCCCAGCCCTAGAATATTATTTTAAACCCAGTCACTAGCTTTGACACAGTTTTACTCATATGTCTCTACCAAACCTTTTAAAATGTTTTCCTCCAAATATGATTGGTAAAATGTGAAATATCTTCAAAATATCAGAAAGTTGGAAAAAGAGAAAAACCCACTGAAGGTTAACTGAATTTCTCATTTGAGGGGGCAAATGACTAAACAATAACTACATTTATAATTATTTATAATATTTACTTATATTTAAATCCTAAAATGTGTCATCAGTGATAATATTAAATAGTAAATGATTAATGCACAAAGTTTCCTAAGTAACCTCAGAGATCAGATTTCAAGTAGCAAAGGTAAGAAGAAAGTAAGAACTATGAAGAATCAGAATCAGGTCCTTCTCAAGGGGAGCCTGACTTGTCCTCAAAAAGTGAAGGCTCTGTATTTCAAGACAGGTCAATATTTCATGTGCTATGTCCAACTCTTTGAAATGTAGGTAATTTCAGTTTTTAGAAAATACAGCATTAATTTATAATCATTAAAATCCACCTAAAAACAAACAAAAGTTTGTGATACTATTAATTTAAATAAACATGATTTACCATTATTTCCCTGTCAAAAGATGAAAACATAGTAAAGTTAAAGTAGGTGGGAGTTAATTATAATTTTTCTATCTTTCAGAAAAATGTAACACTGCAATGCTACTTCAAAAATAAAACTAATAAAACATTTATTTAAAAGCAGACTTACTTTGGGTTATCTAAGTCATATACCACCCGATCTATGATGTCACTCTGATGGATTAGTCTCTCAATGTCTTGGGCAATTTTTGTCCTAAAATCATAAAAGAGAAATTTGACTAAATTCATTATTATATGCCAATAGTATATAACTTTCTCCAATATAAATTTAGAATGAAAAAGTATAAAATGGTGAAAAAATTCTTTAAAATTATCATTTCTCTATATTTTGTGTACAAAAAGTATCAGTTCATAAAAGTAGATGAAAATCAGTATTTACCAGAATCTGAGATCTAGAAAGGAATCATGTAGAATACAACCATTGTGTAATGGTGGGAACAAAGGTAGGAAAGGAAGAAAGGAAAGAGAAAATCTAAAATATCTTTAGACCTTTCTGCATAGAAATGGTACAGACTCATTTGTCAGCCCTTAGACAAGTACTCTGTGTGTGTAATAGCAGATTAGAAGTGATAAAAATCTGAAAAGTCAGAGATAACATAAGAAGAAGATATATTACAAACATTTAGCTGGCAATTTAGAAAAACACCACTGTCAGTCAGTTGGCTCTAACTTCTGCAGAATGCCCCTCCCTCTGTGGCGGGAAAGGAAGGAGGAGGGAGGAAAACTTGGACCTCATCTTCTCCTGAGTCAGCCCAACAAAATTAACACTTAACTGGGAAAACCCTAAAATCCCTGCCTATATCCTAGAACACGCAGTCACCCAAATGACTCACAATTGTTTCCCTTCAATATTTAAGCCAAGTAAGACAGCCACCAGGTAGCACCACACTTTGGCTGAAAAAGAAACAGCTCTGGCTCCTGAGGCCAGATGCTAGAACTACAGTAGAATGACATCCTGCTAGTGTTAGTACAAAACTACTTATCATAGCATATTTTCTTTAAAGAGGAAGTTGAGTTAAAATTAAAGTTTAAGTTTGTTCATTTCAGCTAACAATAGACAATACAGATTAGAACTGAAATTTACAGATTTATTGAGAGCAGGGTGAGAAAGTTTGCCAAAATGCTTATAATAAAACCTCAGGATACTTAAAATGCTGAAAGTCTCCTTAACTTCAGCATAATCTAAAACTAATCTGCTGCACCAGAACACTTGTCTGGGATTAAAGGATATCAATAACATTACAGAATAACTTTAAACTCATAATAAGTCAAGGATCTATACTAATTGAAGAATTAAACACTTCAGGAAAAGATTAAAAGGTGTGATGGTTAAACAGATAAAAAGTACATTAAAAATAAAAGTGCAATGGTAAGAATTCTGAATCTACTAAATACCTAAGCATAATTTACTTGTGAGTTTATTCTAAAAAAATAACGACTAACAAACCAGTCTATTAGGGATAATTAGACATACTATATTGAGTATCATAATTTGAAAATGCCAAGTTCTTTCTAAAGAAATAAGCTTCTTAAAAAAAAAAAACACCAAAAATAGCAATAAGTAAGCAAATTTAGACTTTATACTAATTATATCTCCAAAAGTAAAAGTCCTACATACAATTACATATATTTATGCATCACTCAAAACATCTAATGTCCAAGCATCGGTGAGTGCCTAAATAGGTCTTTTGTCTTAACTATATGTGTACACACACACACACATTCAATGAGCCAAATTTAATACTTACAAGAGTTTGGATTTCTGTTTGTTTTTGGAAAATGGTATTAAAAGGCTGCCTACTTCTATAGCCCCATCCATAATGTAAAGTGGTCAAAAAGCACAGACCCTGCTGAACCCAGCAGGTAACAGAACTGAAAAAAGCTGACTGGCAGGCCTGGGGAGACTGAGGAACTCCATCTAAAACCGAAGTTCTGTCTAAAAGCTGACTGCTGTCAAGTGGAAAACGGGTGAAAACTGTCACATCTAAATTTTTCAAAACATACCAGAAACTTTTGGATTTATCCATGCAATCTCCCAAAGTTGCAAATCATGTGCAAGCCGAATGCTGCCTACAAGCCACTATTTTTCAACCCCTAACATTGTATTTAGGGGGTATAACTGCCACTTTGACTTGACCTGAAACTAATAAGAGAGGGAAATTTCTGTCCTGCCCTAAGCCCTCTTTAATAAATTATAAAAAGGCTTTTACTCAGATACACTTTTGTGTAGGTATTAGGGTTTATATCTAGGTATCCCCACAAAGCCTCATACACTCACAGGTGGGGCTCTGGGGAGGTGACTGGATCATGGGTGTGCAATACTGGATTAGTTCAGTATGGGTTTACAGGCAGGTGTGATGTTGCGGGGGGGCCTGGTGGGAGGGAAGGAAGGAGGGAGGCAGAGGACAGGGAAGGAGGGAGAGGGAGGAGGGGGGAGAGAGAGAGAGAAAGAGAGAGACACACGGAGTCAGTCCTCCCTTGATAGCTCACTGCTCCCTGCCTGCCACGCCTCTCGGCCATGACGCCCTGCCTTAGAGCCAGCCAACCATAGACTGAAACCTCTACAAGCTAAACTAAAATAAACCTTTTCCCCCTTTAACTTATGGGTGCTTGGTATTTTGCCCCAGAAATGAGAAAAGTAATAAAGTCAGTAGGTAACAGTTACAATTTATATCTAGATATCCCCATAAAGGCTCATACAATCACAGGTGGGCTTTTGGAAGGTGACTGGATTATGGGGGCTTATACTTGACTTGCTATGAGGAGGTAGGGTCTGGTCCAAAGAGGCAACTCACTCAGGGCCTGGCCCAGAAGGGCCTATCTCCCTCCCAGGCTCCTCCTTTGATGTCTCTGCTTTCTGTCCACCAAGCTGTGAGCAGCTCTCCTCTGCTATGGCCCTCTGTCATGTCACTCTACCTTGGAACTAGCCAACTGTGGATAAATCTCTCTCCTCCTCTAAACTGCAGGAGTCTGGTATTTTATCCCAAGGACAAGGAAAGTAACTAAGAGAGTAACCTTCATAGAAGAATATCGGCCTTTCCTTTAACTCACTTGCCTATTAAAATATATGGCTTTCCAGCCAAAACAAAACAACAGATATTTGCCAACCACTCTCAAGAACTATAACTTCAACCTTACTAATATTCAACATTTAACAAATACTTGGCTCAGAAAAATATGCAGGAGAGCCTGAAAAATTCAGTCCCTACTCAAAAATCATACGATATGTGACCACCAGCAAAACTATAACTTGTCAGACTGTCAACCACAAAGCAACGCTACAATTTAGTGAACCTCATTTTTATTGACAGGATATTATAGGAAAAGATGTTTGTTACATAAGCGTTCTGAGGATCTGTATTGTTTTTCATATTGTCTATAAATAAGATCCAAGACACTCTTCTTTACAGATAAAGGGGTTTATGTATGTGTGTGATCACTACAGGCACCTGTATGATATGAGGACAGAGTACAGATTCATGATCTCAACCAGGGTTTGACTCTTGGCTCTGTCAAATAGTCTGGGTAAATTACTTACCACTCCCAAACTTCAACATATTCTTCTATAAAATAATAGTTCCTGTTTGCATTAAATGGTAATTTATATGCCTATATCTACAGCATATAAAATGCTTATCACTTTATTCTGTGCCTGCCATAAGAAACATTCACTAAATGTTATTTGCTGCTTTTGTTCTAATACTTCTACTACTGCTCAATTCCAGAAGTACTTCTGTTTCTTCCAAGCTAATCTAAATGTAAAGGAACTGAGGGTTTTTCCCCGTCCTTATATGATTTTTCTACAATTATACTTCACTACTGTGAACAGGTAATATACTGAGAATGTTACAAAGTCAAGTGTGACATAAGAGCATAACGTGACAAGCTGCCCTTTCAACACGATCCACATTCTCCACTCATCTGATCAGTAACTGCTCTCATTACCTGCCTTCTGACTTTTTGTTTGAAAGTACTAATTTAGACTGCTTTTCCCTCTTTCTGACACAAAGTCCAGAACACTACAGAACAACCACCTTGTTTATCTCACCTAACACTACATCTTAGAGCTCCTCCCTCAATACAAAGAACGTTCTCCACCGCTGCATGTTAGTCATAAACGAAACACAAAAACTGCCTTTGATTGATAGGCTTTTATTTCTAACTTCAAAACAATGCTACAATAAGACAACTTCGAGTATCGTTTCACACACATGCAAATTATGGGTGCCCACAGGTGTGCACATACATGTGATTTACGAAATAAATAGATCTCAAACATTTCCAGACATGGGGTTAATGGGCCAATGAAACAGACTCCTCCACAAGACAGATTAGCAATTGAATGTCACCCTCAATGCAAGAAAGAGCCTATTTTTCCACAGCCTCATCAACAGAATGTGCTGCTAAACTTCTAGGTTTTTAGTCAATTTGGTATTTGGGAAATGATGTCTTCATATATTTTTTTTCTCTTGTTTTGGATGAAGGTGAATATATTTTTCTGGCTAAGAGTCACAATGTATTCTTTTTCTTATTTCTCATTTTATTTCATGAATGCATCTTTAGAAAATACATTATTTTTAAAAAGGCAATATAATATAAATATAATAATTTCTAATAAAATATGTAATATAAAATACATCCAGCTTTTTCTTAGACATATGAAAAAATAATAAAAAGAAAATAAAATTGCTAATGGTAGTTATCTCTAGGGGAGAAAAAACATGGCCTTTCTTCATTCATTTTCTCACATTCTAATTTTACAGAATATGAAAACAGGAAAAATGTACCAAAATGCTAAGCACATTTTAAAATGAAATAAATTTCATTTAAATTTTTAAATTCAATTTAAACCACAATATGTATTTCAATGATTATCAATATGTGTTTACAATAAAAAAATTTTAAACATTAGTGTTTTACCTATATAGGTAAGAATATTACAATGGGCTTTCTCCTTTCCAAATGACAACAGATTTTAAATGAAGTTCTATTCTTTTTATACTAAACTTTCTGTTGTTAAAACAGATTGGGCACCTGCACACCAACAGCCCCAATGAGGAAGGTGATATTTGGGAAGGCCTCTCTGAGATCTGCTCTCCCTCCAGCCTGCTTGGGCCCATTCGGCAGGACCGGGTACCCATGCCCTCCCCTCCCTGTGCCCCCACCAGCTCCAGCAAGGAAGGTAGCCACAAC